TTGGTTCAAATTTTATATGCTGATGCCTAAGGACACAACTTCAAGAAAGTATTGTCAAGATGGCAGCTGCATTTCAAAATGGCCTCATTATCCCATCGAAAGAAGTTCGAGGGGGATATAGGAAAGCAGACAGTCTGTCCGTCCGTCCGTTTGGTAACTCAAATACCAGTTGACAGATTTGATTCAAATTTTATGGGCTTATATGCCTTATGAGGGTAGAACCTCTCCTTGAGAAGGAATTTTCAATATGGCCACTTAATTCAAAATGGCCACCATTTTTCGTAAAAAATTTAATCTTTGATTACTCAAAATACTAGTTGACGGATTTGGTTTAAATTTTATATGCTGATACTAGTGACAAAGGAGCTATGCTGAAGAAGAGATTTTCAAATGGCTGCTAAATATCAAAATGGTGGCCATTTTTCGTAAAAGAACGTAATCTTTGATAACTCAAATACCAGTGAACGGATTTGGTTCAAACTTTATATGTTGTTGCCTAGGGACAAAGTAAATTTGTTCAAGAAAGAATTCTTAAGATGGGAGCTAAATTTTAAAATTGCCACCATTTTTCATAAAAAAACTAAATCTTTGATAACTCAAATACTAGTTCACAGATTCGGTTCAAATTTTATATGCTGATGCCTAGGGACAAAGGAGCTATCCTGAAGAAGAAAATGGCTGCTAAATATCAAAATGGCAGCCATTTTCCATAAAAAACGTAATCTTTGATAACTCAAATACCAGTGAACGGATTTGGTTCAAACTTTATATGTTGATGCTTAGAGACAAAGTAGATTTGTTCAAAAAAGTATTCTCAAGATGGCAGCTAAATTTCAAAATGGCCACCATTCATAAAAAACTAAATCTTTGATTACTAAAATACTAGTTCACAGATTTGGTTAAAATTGTATATGCTGATGCCTAGAGACAAAGGAGCTATTCTGAAGAAGGGCGGGCGGCTCGCGGCGGGCGGCTCACTTTTCAGCTTGTCTACAGGTTTCCAGCCAAACCATTTGAGGGATTCAACTGAAATTTTCAGGGATGTTTCTACATATCAACGTCAAGAACTGATTAGTTTTTTGGCATTCTGGGTAAATCTTAAGGTGGCCATTTTGGATTTTCTGTCCTAAAATCTTCACTTTCAAGACTTGTCTACAGGTTTCCAGCCAAACCATTTGAGGGATTCATCTGAAATTTTCAGGGATGTTTCTACATATCAACGTCAAGAACTGATTGGTTTTTGGGCATTCTGGGTAAATTTTAGGGTGGCCATTTTGGATTTTCCGTCCTAAAATCTCACTTTCAAGACTTGTCTACAGGTTTTCAGCCAAACCATTTGAGGGATTCATCTGAAATTTTCAGGGATGTTTCTACATATCAATGTCAAGAACTGATTAGTTTTTTGGCATTCTGGGTAAATTTTAGGGTGGCCATTTTGGATTTTCCGTCCTAAAATCTTTACTTTCACGACTTGTCTACAGGTTTCCAGCCAAACCTTTTGAGGGATTCATCTGAAATTTTCAGGGATGTTTCTACATATCAACATCAAGAACTGATTAGTTTTTGGGCATTCTGGGTAAATTTTAAGGTGGCCATTTTGGATTTTCTGTCCTAAAATCTTCACATTCAAGACTTGTCTACAGATTTTCAGCCAAACCATTTGAGGGATTCATCTGAAATTTTCAGGGATGTTTCTACATATCAACGTCAAGAACTGATTGGTTTTTGGGCATTCTGGGTAAATTTTAAGGTGGCCATTTTGGATTTTCCGTCCTAAACTCTTCACTTTCAAGACTTGTCTACAGGTTTCCAGCCAAACCGTTCAAATTTTTACATATGTTACACAGTGATAAGTTCTAGAGCTGATTAACTTTTCTGCAGCCATCTTGCTTTCTTGGTCAACAAGACCACAATGCTGTGTTTTAGGTACGATATTGTTCACGTCTGTGCCTTGTTGTTAGGTATCGTTGTAAACACATTGTAGTATTGACCCAGGGGTTTCAATAAATATTTTTTCAACAGGCCTTTTGGCAATTTCAACAGGCTGAATTTTTTTTCGACCATTCGCCACTCGCTTCGCTCGCCTTCTCCTTCATATTTGGAGGTGCTCGACTCAATATATTGAAAATAGGATATATATAGGGTGTCCCGATGTAAAATCATAAAATCAGTATTTTCCTGCCACTTAAATGCAAACTGTATATGAGCAATTGATCTATTTGACTTGTTAATTTCTTTATGTGTTTTTCAATGTTGCCCCTTGTTCCTCCTCACTCTGATGTAAATAATAACTCAGTATTCCTTTCCCACCGAACGAAGTTCAAGAGGGATATAGGAAAGCCGTCCCCCAGTTCGTCCGTCTGTCCGTCCGTCCGTCTGTTTGTCAGGGCGATAACTCAAATACTGTTTCACGGATTTGATTCAAATTTGATAGGCTTATGCCTTATGGGTGTAGGACCTCTGCTCGAGAAGGAATTTTCAATATGGCCACTGAATTCAAAATTTCCGCCATTTTTCGTAAAAAATGTAATCTTTAATAACTCAAATACTAGTTTGCGGATTTGGTTCAAATTTTATATGCTAATGCCTAGGGACACAGTAGATATGTTCGAGTAAAAATTTTCAAGATGGCGACTAGATTTCAAAATGGCGGCCATTTTTCGTAAAAAAACGTAATCTCTGGTAATTCAAATACCAGTGAACGGATTTGGTTCAAATTTTATATGATGATGCCTAGGTACAAAGGAGCTTCGCTCAAGATGGGATTTTCAAGATGGCCACTGATTGTCAAAATGGCGGCCATTTTTCGTAAAACGTAATCTTTTATAACTCAAATACCAGTGAACAGATTTGGCTCATTTTTTATACGATGATTCAAATTTTATATGCTGATGCCTAGAAACACAGTAGCTCTGTTCGAGAAAAAATTTTTAAGATGGCGGCTGATCTTCAGAATGGCTGCCATTTTTCTTTTCATTTTCGTAATCTTTGGTAACTCAACTGCCGTTCGGTGGGATTTGCTACTCCGTGGAGTTGCTGTTTTTCTAGTTAATTTCAATGAAATATAAAGATCAACATTCAATAGTTTGATATGCATTTTTGACTTCTAATATTTTATTTGTTTTCAAATGTTGCCCTTTGTGCTTCCTCACTATGATGTGAGATAATGCCAAGTGGATCAATTGTATTATAGTGTTTGTTTTATCCATTGAAAGTTGGCAGGACAGTGATAAAGGTTTTTTGCTACTGACCCATTAGTCTCAAAGCAATGATGTTTTTTGGTTTTGAGAGTAGGTCAATAAAAATGGTGGCCGGATTATTGTAAGATAATTATCTCAGTGTTTCTGTAAAACACTGCTGATTATCTGCCTATTATACTTAGATTTTGCCTTCACAAGGTAGGCCAATTTATATTCTTTCATTTGATATTTCAAACTGTCTCATGTGTCAGCAAAATCTCTCATCATTTGGGCCGGCAATTTTTTTCTCAATTTTTGAACCAGCGTAACTGGGGTTTGAAGCGGCGAAAACGCCGGCCGCCAGCTGTTAATGAAACCCCAGTTGACCTAAAAAAAATTTTGCGTCCAAAAAACGGAAATATTTTCAATTTTTGCGTCCTCCAAATTATTTTTGAGTCCTTAACATGTACGGGACGCCGTTAATGCAAGCCCTGCTGATGCTTGGGGACAAAGAAGCTATCCTGAAGAAGAGATTTTCAAAATGGCTGCTTGATATCAAAATGGCAGCCATTTTTGTAAAAAAAACATAATCTTTGATTATTCAAATACCTGGGAATGGATTTGGTCCGAATTTTATATGATGATGCCTAGGGACAAAGGAACTATCATGAAGAAGGGATTTTCAAAATAGCTGCTAAATACCAAAATGGCAGCCATTTTTTTGTGAAAAGCGTAATCTTTGATAACTCAAATTCTAGTGAACGGATTTGGTTCTAATTTATATATGATGATGCCTAGCGAAAAAGTAGATTTGTTCAATAAAGAATTTTCAAATTATGGCTGAATTTCAAAATGGCCATCATTTTTCATAAAAAAACATAGGGGACGGATTTGGTTCTGAATTTCAAAATGGCCGCCATTTTTCATAAAAAAACATAATCTCTGATAACTCAAATACTAGTTGACGGATTTGGTTCAAGTTTTATATGCTGATGCCTAGGGATAAAGGAGCTACGCTGAAGAACAGATTTTTAGAATGGCTGCTAAATACCAAAATGGCAGTCATTTTTCGTAAAAAAATGTAATCTTTGATAACTCAAATACCAGTGAAAAGATTTGGATCAAATCTTGTATGATGATGTCTAGAGAAACAGTACCTCTGTTTGACAAAGGATTTTCAAGATGTCAGCTGAATTTTAAAATGGCCACCATTTTTTGTAAAGAATGTAATCTTTGATAACTCAAATAGCAGTGAATGAATTTTGTTCAAATTTGATATGCTGACGCCTAGGGACACAGTAGCTCTGTTCAAGAAAGATTTTCAAAATGGCGGCTGAATTTCAAAATGGCTGCTATTTTTCATAAAAAGGAATATGTTTTGTTCGGTGGCATTTGCTACTCCGTGGAGTTGCTGTTTTTCTAGTTTTTCACAAAAAAGTAAACTTTTGTAACTCAAATACCAGTGAATGGATTTGGTTCAAATTTTATATGCTGATATGCCTATGGATACAGTTGTTCTGGTTGAGAAAGAATTTTAAAGATGGCGGCTGAATTTCAATATGGTCACCATTTATCTGAAAAACATTATCAAGAAGAAATTTTTAAGAATGGCAGCTGAGTTTCAAAAAAATGTAATTTAAAAATGTAAATTTAAATCATAATTTTAGATTATCAGTTGATGGATTTGGTCCAAATTTTATATGCATGCACAGTTCAAGGAAAAATTTTCAAGATGGCCACTAATTATCAAAATATGTTTTGATCTGTAGGATTTGCTATTTCTTTGAGTTGCTGTTTTTCTAGTTACTGACATTTTTCCAGAGATTGCCAATTTAGAGGCAGGAGAGGAAGACGAAGCAACGCCTGAAGATGAGACAGATGGGAGAAACCAATCAAGGGTGTCATTTACAGAAGTAAGGACAGTTTCCATTATGAGGGAGGTTAAGTTACATGTTTTACAAAGAAATTTCATCCTATTATTTCCACATTGTTACAATTGCATTTTTTATAGCTGATATTGAGAAATCAGAGGTTGAAGATTTGGGACTTCATAACTTTTGGGTAGTAGTAGTAGTAGTATGAGTAATCATGTGTATGCCTTGCAGAGCAAAAATCACTGATGAACAATAAATAAAACACATTTTTTATGGTTTCTTATTTTTGAGGTATCAAAATAACCCTGAAATATGAATTTTTATTCACTTCTATTTTGTTATTATCTCATATTAGTCTGTAGGCAGGTCTGGGGAAAGGCTTCATAAAATTGCTGATTATGGCATTTGAGAGTAGAGTTTAGCCACCTATGTCACAATGTTGGCATACTCAAAGGCTGTAACTTGTAGCTGTTGAGAGTCTTGTAGGGGGTTTGGGGCCGAGATATCAGTGGTTTCAGTAACTTTCTGCACAAAAGGCAGATGAAAAAAACAAGAGGCGCCATTCAAAACAACCAATTTTACACTCCTGGAAATGCAAATTCTTGGCCATGAACAGAAAGTTGACAAATGAACAAGGGCATGGACAGGCTTTGCCAAAAATAATATAACATTCTGATGTGCATTATATTTAAAATACAATGTATCTGAAATACAATATTTTTGTACAGTCAATCAAAGTTTTGAACTTTAAATCCTATTAAGAAGTGATTTAAAAGATGTCCAGGATTTTACTTTTTGCAGGTTTGTCAAAGTCATTTCCCGTGTGATATTGGGTCAATTGGATTAACCACAAGACATGGGCTACACAAATGACACCTTGAACTGTGGAATGACTATGGCAACTTATATACAGGGTGGGCCAAAAAAAATCACCCTCCTAGCCGATATTCCTGATAAAAATCCGTCCGTCAACATTGGCCGCACAAATTAAAACTGCTATTCGGATTGAGTCGTAACCACATTCATTTTATGCATATCAATAATGCCTATTTGACCTATCATTGCCATTTCCCAAGTTTGCCCCGAGTTTTTGGCTCACACAGTGAGCCTATGGGATCGACCAGGCGTCCGTCCGTCCGTTGGTCCGTCCGTCCGTCAACATTGGCAGCACAAATTAAAACTGCTATTCGGATTGAGTCGTAACCACATTCATTTTATGCATATCCATAATGCCTATTTGACCTATCATCGCCATTTCCCAAGTTTGCCCGGTTTCCGAGAAATTGCTGATTTTGACATCAAAAAGTCAAATTTTCTTTAAATATCAGACTCTTTGTGACACTTTCAAATGAGTGGTAGTAGTTGCTGTATGTGCAACATATGTCCTCTGAAGATTTCAAAGCTCTGAGAATTACAGTTTTTGCTGTTTACTCTATAAAATTTGAAAAAAAAACAGGACTTCATCATTTTCAGGGAACTTACTCATGTATAAAGTCAATGGCAGGTTTTGTGATTGACAAGTTTCTCAAAGTTTGTCCCAATACTTGATCGTTTCTTGCAATGAATTACATCATTACTAGATTTAAGCATTCCCTACAAATTGCTCATGTCAACATAAAATTTTTACCTTTTTTGAGATATTTGACATCAATAGACCCCCCCACCCATCCTCTGATCGGATTATTCGCTTAAGACACAGAAGCCATTGGTTGATGGCATAATTGATGGATGTATGCGGAAGTACCATTCTAACTGCTAGTTGTTCTTTCTTTTAGTTCCTCTACATCTCTGATAGGCTGGGTATCTTTAAATACCAACTGTTCTAGATGCCCCCAGGTATGGTAATCAACATTATTGGCATCTCGACTGCCAGTAAGCCATTTGTCCGGGCTAGAGATGGTGTCATTTCGAATCTCCAAAAACAAAGGGTAGCATTGGACCTGTGTGATGAAGCACTTTCCTATTAGAAAATGAATGTTTATTATATCCTTGAGGAGTCCTTTTTTAACATCTCATGTCATTAACATTCAGAGTATATTTTTGCTCCTGGTTCAAGAAAAACAGGGTCTGTATGGTCTTTCCTTTTTGGGAAACAACAAGTGGACACCACTACCCTTTCAGAAAAATGTCATCTCGATTTGAGTAACCTTTTATTGCAAATGTCCCTATTCTTGCTTACTGATATATAGAGTCTATCCTGTTGATTACATGTATAGTACTTGGGGCATTTAGTCTGGCATTAGGTCTTTGAAGATCACTAGCCTATCAGGGATGTAGACAAACTGAAAGAATGAATAATTAGGAGTTTGATGGTTCTTCCGCAGAGATCCATCAATTATACCAATTAAACCAATGGTTTAGCAAATAATCCGATCAGAAGGTGAGTCCAGGGGTGGGGCCATTGAGCCATATTTGGACAGACTGAAGGAGAAATGAATTTGTTTTATAAGCATACGCATGTTTATTGGGCATGCATGGTTCAAAAACTGAATGAAAACAATATATAATATCCGATTATGAAAGACTCATGGCAATGTTGCAATTTTTAACTGAACAGTAAAATTTGGTAGAAATAGGCTATTGTTCGCAAAATCGATGAGAATTGAAAAGATGTTTTTTGACCCCCATGTCACATAAATGGTTATATCTCAAGCCACGGGGGTTGTTGAAAATTGTTCTATTATATATCATTTTTTGTAGCAATTTTTTTATCTTTAAAATGATATACCCTCTGTATCAAAAGTCTTTTCCTATTGAGTAAACCCTTAAATAACTTTTGTATAAGGCAAGTAAACTCAATGAAACTTTCCACGCATAATTTGAAGCATATAATACACCCTCTGTGAAAATTTGGAGACAATTGATTGATTTTTACTCAAAATATCACATATAGAACATAGCATATACCAAAAACACCAATATGACTTTTTCCAAGTTTGTGACGTCAAACTTACCTAAGATTGCCAAACTGACCAAAATCAGGTTGCTCTGTAAAAGTATGCAGACAAAAGTCTTTATATATAAAATGCTAATTATGAGCAGAATGTGTTATTAAATATACAAAAAATGTACTCTGAATTCCCTCATACATTTTACTAACAGCCCTGGACCATGTTGTACTCCACTTAACCCTTTCCTGACCAAAATTATTTGAGGAATTCAGAAATATGTTGTCACAATAAGCACTGCTATCCTTAATATATCAATGTTCGGTGCATTAGGATTCAGAATTATTGCAATAAAATGGAAATATGATAGATTCTTTTGAATTAAATACCAAAAGTACATCAAGAATATTTAGAAGATAAACCCCTGAGAAAATCATATTGACACATTAGTCACAAAATTACACTTATTGATGTCATTGGGCAGGAAAGGGGTAAATATTAAGGAAATATGGCATAACAATGAACAGTTAGGCAATACTGTTCTAAGACCCAATTGTAAGGACTTTTGCATTGTTATTATACAGCTTTCAGTGACACCTTTATTTTATGAAATATACAACTCTCATGAACAGGATCATTTGTAAAGTCTATAACATATTCTGATTGCTCTACCTTTGTCCACTTAGTTTTGCAGAGCAGTCTGACTTTGGTCAGTTTGGCAATCTTAGGTAAGTTTGACGTCACAAACTTGGAAAAAGTCACATCGGTGTTTTTGGTATATGCTATGTTCTGTATGTAATATTTTGGGTAAAGATTAATCAATCGTCTTCAAAATTCCGGATAATGTGTATCATATGCCTCAAACTTTGTGTGGAAAGTTTCATTAAGTTTACTGGTCATTTACTAATTTAAAAGTTCTTTGAAGTTTTCCTTAATAGGAAAAGACTTTTGATACAGAGGGTATCATTCTTGGTGTACATGTTAAAAAATAAATATTTATCAGAAATAATGGCTAGGGGGGGGGGGGGGTTGCCCACCCTGTAGAATGTCATTTACCTTCTATGAGATAACTTACCCTTACAATAGGTTGCAGTTTACAAATTTAAATGCACCTGCTGAATTGAACACTTTTAATATAGAATGCATCCTGTGTATATCTCGTATATAATTTACATTGAAAGTTCAAGGTATCTGCTGACTTAACAGTCTCCATGAAGATTTTGAAAACATGTTTTTTCATATATTTACTATTTGTTTGTCATGACTTAAAAATCAATTTAAGAGATTTTTGAAAAAAAATATTTTTGAAATGAAAGTTGTCAGCTTTTCAATTAAAGTTGAAATTTTCAATCATCAAACATTTCACTATACAGTGAAAGAAAATATTATCTTTTTAAAATATAAAGATTGAACAAAGGACACACTATTTCAACAATAAAATGTCATATCTGATGTGCCATTTCAATGTTTTAGCATATCGAAAATATTTTGCAACCTAAGTGACCTCATCATGACATCATTAGGTGGCAACATTTCTCCATGTCTATCCCTTTCTGTGCTTAACTAAAGAATAAACCAATGTTGACTGTCTAACCAGGTTAAGGGGATCAATACAGGGTTATCAAAAAAAACGCAACAAGTAGTTATCTCGTAAAATCACAAAACTAGTGATGACTACATCAATTTCATTTAAAGGGGAGCACCACCATGGTCACATGATCAGTCGTGTGGAGGTAAGCTCCCAGTTGAAATAAAAGCACTGTCCTCCTTTGGTTTATGTGAAAAGTAGCTAATAACCTCATGTATTGGTCAGTTTGTGTGTCACAAGACTAATCCACACCATATGCTTCATTCAACATATTTTATGCTATTAAGCTGCATATATAAACAGTACTTTGCAGTAAATGTACTACTGGATGAACTAAGGTCATACAATATACTTACCCCTTGCAAATTGTAATTTATTGAATTCACAGTAAACCCATCAATTTTTAAGAAAACAAAAAATATTGTTCTCATGGATCTATTATTTATGTTAAACTAACTATGAAAATATAAATATGAAATAATATGTTAGCTTGAAGTCATATATAAGATGAAAATATATGTTCATGCATTTGCATTTTTCCAAAGGGAATATTCCCATGTAAG